GGAGCAGGGATTATTTAGTCTGGAGAAGAGGAGGTTCAGAGAAGACCTTATCCCTCTCTATAGCTCCCTGAAGGGAGTTCATGGTGAGGTGGGGGCCGGCCTTCTTTCTCAGATGACAAGTGACAGGGCACAAGGGAACAGTCATAGGTTGTGCCAGGAGAGGTTTAGCTTGGGCATAAGGAAGAATTGCTTCATAGAAATTATGACCAGGTATTAAAAAAGTGCCCATGGAGATGGAAGATTCACCACCCCCGAAGGTATTTAAGAATCATGCGGATATAATGCTTAGAGACATGGTTTAGTGGTACAATTTGGCAGATCAGGTCAATGATTAGACTTTGAGATCTTACAGATCTTTTCCAACTTAAATAATTCTATTTCAGCAGCTGCCAGGATAGTGATATTCTACATCCCGAAAATTTCATTTTCACTTTTTTTAACAGCAAATAATTAACTACATTACCAAGCCATTATTATTGAGGCATTGAAATTAAAGAAAAAAATATTTTCCTGTTATTTACTCTGCATTTTTGTCTCTCTTCTGTCCTCATTGTTGCATTTCACACTTCTCTTATTATTTTCCCAATTAGAACCCGAAAATTAAGACTTCTTAACTCTCCTACCTAATTCATTACTTTGTCTTCATGTTCCATCCCCAGCTTTAAAGAACACTTGGATAGTTGTTTATCTAGCTAAAACTGCCCTGGAAAAAAATTGCCATTTCACTCCTGAATCAAAACTTTAACAAAAAAAAAAAAAGTCAGTTTTTGACTTCTATCAGCCAACGGAAATAGTCCAAGTACTCTTTCAGACAAGCTTAAATCAGATAGCTTTTTCACATGTAGCAAAAAATTTTGTGCCACTTCTGCAGTAAATCTTAACTGCAATTTGAAGTGCTGTTTTTTTCCCCCACACAGAGCTCTGCAAATAATCAGCTTCTCATATTTTATTTTTCAGACTTAAGTTGTACAATTAGATTCATTAAAAAAAAAAAAAAGCAAACACTATACACTCCTAAGTGTTTTGCACCTGGCTCTCTGAGTGAGAATGCATTCTTTAAGACTTAAAAATGTTCTAGCAACAAGAGTAGCTGAATTTCAACAAGAAATTGGTGTTTGAATCCATTGAGAAATATTCTCCCTATAAGCATTGCAAACAAATAAGCTGATTTAATAATGGATACCATTTATAACATTTTTCATTACCTCTGAGCCTACTCTACAACATGAATAGTTGAGTGGCAGTGCAAGGAATCTGAAGAGGTAGGAAGAAAATATTTTTCTTAGTCCAGAATGAACATAAGAAAACAGGCCAGCAGAATAGTATGTAATTTCAAACTATAAGGTCAGAATGGTTGCATACAGTGATTCTTCCTTGCAAAAATGTGAATAAAAGTTTCAACATAATGATAAAAAAAAACGTTTTCATCCCATCTGACTAAAAATGTAAAAGCAGTATGGTAGGAAAATATAACGTTGTTTTATTTTATTAAATATATTTCTTGCAAGTTTGCAATATTAAGACCCAGTTCTTGCCCTTTCCTCCCTCTACCAATCTCCTTTACTGCTGATCATGTTCTTTGTCGGCTTGCTTTCAGTAACTTAGAAGCAATGTTTGCAAGTAATATCTACAAGATTTTACCTATAAGCAATGGCTGAGAAGTTACATTAAAACTTCATCTTTCACTTTGAGAGGAATAGTAGCATTTTATCAATAGCCAGTACTGAAAAAGAAATAATGAAAGGAGTGATTTCACTGGAAAACTGTTTTTACTAGTCCATCATTATAAGCATTTCCATGAATTTAATAATAACACATCCAATATTCTGAACTTAATGTAATAAATGAAGGGTGATCACATTACTCAGTTTAAAAAATTGCTTTACATAATGTAATCACTTACTTGCTCTAATTTAATTTCACTTTACATCATTTAATAAATGGGTGCCGATCATTTGACATAATTGAATAAGTAGTTCAGCTCATTCTCTGTACTTCTTAGGTCACAAAATCGGCCACTTTTTGTCATCTTTCAGGATGGCAATGCAAGATTTAAGAGTTGAGTCTTATTTTTTTTGTCAGCTTCTTTATTATCCAGAGTATGCAGGAATTCTATTATGCAGGAAGGAACTTAGCCCTGCCATTCAGGATGAATAAAAAAAAAAATAAAAAAAATTACTTAACATTGAGAATCTAAATCCCAGAAGCTCTAGAAACTCTTCTGTTTCCTGTGAAGTCAGTGAGTATAGATATCACAATGCATTTCCCTATCTTCTCTCCAAGGAAGTGAGGAAAGTGTGTATACATCTTCTTTGAGCACAGAAGGCAGAAAACTATACTTCCTTATGTGTCCTGGGCTCTTGCCAGGATCCATTGGACTATGCAAAGGAAGTTTCACAGAATCACAGAATAGCTAGGGTTGGAAGGGACCTCAAGGATCATGAATCTCTAACCTCCCTGGCCACCATCTTCCCCATTTAATGCTAGACCAGGCTGCCCAGGGCCCCATCCAATCTGGCTTTGAACACCTCTAAGGATGGGGCATCCACACCCTCTCTGGGCAGCCTGTTCCAGCACCTCACCACTCTCATAGGAAAGAATTTCCCCCTGACATCCAACTTAAATCCCCCCTCCCCTCAACTTAAAACCATTTCCCCTTGTCCTGCAGTTATCAATCCTTTCAAAGAGTTGATTCCCCTCCCCTCTGTAGGCTCCCTTTAGGTACTGAAAGGCTGCAATGAGGTCATCCCACAGCCTTCTTTTCTCCAGGCTGAACAAGCCCAGCTCCTTCAGCCTGTCCTCATAGGGGAGGTGCTCCAGTCCCCTGATCATCTTTGTGGCCCTCCTCTGGACCCTCTCCAACAGCTCTCTGTCTTCCTTGTACTGGGGGCTCCAGACCTGGACACAGTACTCCAGATGGGGCCTCACAAGAGCAGAGTAGAGGGGGACAATCACCTCCCTGTCCCTCATGGCCATCCCTCTTCTAATGGAGCCCAGGATACCATTTGCCTTACGAACTGCAAGGGCACACTGCTGGCTTATGTTAAGCTTTTCATCTATCAAGACCCCCAGGTCCTTCTCCGCAGGGTTGCTTTCAAGGACCACTCCTTCTAGACTGTATGGGTGCCTGGGATTCCTTTGGCCCAAGTGCAAAACCTTGCACTTCGCCGTGTTGAACCTCATCAGGTTCACCCGGGCCCACCTTGCTGTTGAGGTCAAGTTTCTAGAAACATACTACAGCCCTCAGATCACACTGACCTTAACAGAAATCTCTGTGCAGCTCAACAGAGCTCTGGATATATTTGAAGGCAGACAGACTCTCAGAAAAAAATTATGGAAATCATAGAATGGCCTGGGTTGAAAAGGATCACAATGATCAGCTAGTTTCAACTATGTGCAGGGTCGCCAACCACCAGACCAGGCTGCCCAGAGCCACATCCAGCCTGGCTTTCAATGCCTCCAGCGACAGAGCATCCACAACCTCCTTGGGCAAAAATACCTGTTATTTGTGCAAGACTTTAACAAATGACGTCCCAAAAGCTACCTCTCAGTAGTACCATGCTTTTGAGTGACCAGCTTGTGATCACACTGGAGAACGTGAAGATGGCAGGATGAAGGTCTCCAAGACTAGTAGCATAGCAATATTATTCTGCTGTAAATTAAATAATTCTACACATAAATGTAGGTTAGCAATAAAATCTTATTTATCCCTGCACCATAGGTTATGTGAAGGTCTGGGGTCAGGTCTCACCTAGTACAAGGTGCTTCA